TAAAATTAAAAATTTTCAAACAACATATTTTAGATCATTAGATTCTATATATTAAATCATTCTAATTTTTCAAATTTATACTCTAAGTATTATTAAATTTAAAGTAAATGATGAATTAGATACATATCTCTTGATAATCTAAATAATTTAGATCTTTTGGTAGAGCACTTATATAGAAAAAAATCCAACGATTAAAAAAAACTTTATTATCATAATGGTGTCTTGGCGAGCACCATATACCAATCAATTTCTATATACTTAATTATCTCATGAAAAACTGGATTTGGAAGAAATGTATAAAACAACTTTATTATCACAATGCATTTCGAGTTGTTTCTAAGTTTGTAACACTGCAAATCTTTTAGTAAGCCAATAAACTAAACTATTTCACATATTGCAAAAGCCATTACTTTATATTCTGCTCTAACTAAGAATCTAAAAACACCATTTTGTTTCTTTGTTTTCTAAGATATTAAAGAGCCTTTAAGAAACACATAAAATTCAATAAAAAAAATTTCCTTATCATAGGACATGAAGTCTATAACCCCTGTGAAATTTTTACACATGTTAAAATATTTCTAAATATGTTTATATGGAGTATAATTAATAGTATGGATGGGTTTAAAATATATTTTTTATGACGGTATGTTCGACGATTACGTCAAAAATAACGGGAGGAAACATTTCGGATAATTGAGGTAATTATCCTTTGGGGTATTTCTAAGTGTTTGGAATGTATGATAATGATAAGAAATTTATTTTATAATTTTAGGAACATTGGGATTTTATTTGAGAAAATTTCCAAATTTATTAAAAGAAATTTTTCGAAATGTAGAGCTAGATTACGTCCGAAGTTTGCATGATTTATTTGAGGACCTTAGAGTGATTTCTGGATAAATATCAAAGAATAAAAGTTGTTCCTCTATGTGTCTAATATCCCTCTATAAAAGTTTGTGAATTTTATATCTTTATATAAAAAGGTATTTCTATTTTGGTATAGATGGTTCGGGATGCACCACTACTAGAATTTTTTTTTGGAAAGAAATTTCGAAATATTGGGAGAAAAGAAGATGTTTGGTTGCTTAAAATAAGTTAATTAGGAATTTAGTTTGTATAATGACTTATTTAGGACACCTAAGACTTGTATTAAATGAGTTAAAGCCAACTCACTCTTGTCCTTTATTCGAACCAGCCAGACTTTGCCTTTCAAGTTTCCTTCACTTTACACTTTGCCTAGTTAAATTTTAACACTTGTGATATAAATAAATGAGAGGAGAAAAGGTGGGTATATAAGGGAAAGAGAGGGTTAAATGGCTGTCATTTTTTAGGCTAAAAACCGTAACTCTTCCAGAATTAAAAGAGAAGCCAAATTGAAGAGAGAAAAAGGCAAAAAGAGAGAAAGAAAGAAAAGAGAAAAAGAAAGGGAAAAGGGAAGGAAAAACTACCAAATCTTTTAAGGGAGCATAAATCATTGTAAGTAGGTTTTCATTTGAGCATCATATTATGCTTTAAGTTTCATTTCATGTATTTAAATTATGAGTTGATTTGAGTTATTTTCATGTCTTGAAGTTCAAACCATGTAATATGTTGTTTTGGTGGTTTATGATGGTTATATGCTTGATGCTTGGGAGGAATCCATGTATGGATGCCTTGTGGTGATAATTTATGATGTTTTGCTATTTTTAAAAATTTCCATGTATGTGGTGATGGGTTGGATTGGACTTGGACTAAATATAAATAAACAAAAACATGTTTAAAGTTGATTTGGAAAGAACTAATAAATTGGTGTTCATGAGGAGTAAATTCTGTCCGAAATTTGGGGTGCATGTTCAAGGACTTTAGGTCGATTTTTAGGTAAAACTTAAAGAATAAACATTGTTCATCTATGTTTCAAATAACTTCCCTTAAAATTTTCTGGTCATTGGATTCGTTTACAAAGAGTTATATCTGATTTAGTACGGATAGCTCTAGATAAACTACTACTAGGCAGATTGCTCCCTAAGTTTCAAAATTTTATAATAAATTGTCTACTTGGTATTTCTACCTAATTTTTATATTTGTTATAAATAAATATGTCTAGTATCTAAAATAAAATAGGTAAGATTTAATTATATTCATAAGTTAGAAAATTACTTACTCGATTAGAGGTTGCTCGATAGTAAACCCTAAAACCCAATAATTAGACTTGGATAAAATTTATGGGTGTAGATAAAATAAATGGAATTGGATAAAGTCAATAGAATTAGGATTAAGTTAATAAACTTGGATAAAGTTAATGGGCTCGAAATAAGAAAAATGGGCTTGGACTAAAATAAGTGGACTTAGATAGAAATAAAAGGGATTTGAAAATTCTAAAGAAAATTTATTCCTTTAGAGAGGAAATAAAGAAAAGACTTAGACCTTCTTTTAAATATTAATGAAAGTAATGAACAATAATTAATGAGTAGAGGTTATGTTCCCGCTATAAGTACCAAGATTGGTATGTGAGCAATAGGTGAATCTCGAGTTTTGGTTGAACCATGAGTATGGTTTGAGAAAGAAGGGTTGGTACCTGATTTTGGTTGAATGTGATTAAACATGTCATCACGTGCATTAAGGGTAGAATAAATTGAGAAAAAAATCATTGAGTCATGAAATGACATGGTCCAGTAACCGAATTGAGTGGAATGGGTAATAGCAAAGAATCCATAATGCGAGCTCTATTTACTAACACCGTTAAACGAGGGATAATTCCGCATACTATGTGTTACAACGAGGGATAATTTCGTTGTGAGTAGTAGGTGATATTGAGATCACTAAGAGAGAGTAATAGAGCATTAGGTGATAACATGATCACCGAGAGATAGAACGCACGGACTTGCGGATACCCGAGGTACCGGATTAAAATGGATGAAAATATGAGAAACGGAATAACGAGTGCATATCACGTGCATCACCCTACTTACCGAGCTTTGACTCATTCTATTATTGTATTTGTGTGTTGTTCGGACAAGGACAAAGTTAAGCCGATCGAGGATACTACTCGGTTCTTGCTAAAAGAGGCTCATGTGTCACTCATAAAAATAATAATATCTTTTGTGTCATTAAAAAGAGGTACGTGCCTAATTTATAAATTTTAGGCATTTTGAGTATTTTATAAATTATAGAACTATCCGTAATAATGGTTGTAAATCGTATCGTACGTTGCCTATGGTTTAGTTATCTATGTATTTTGTTGTGTATGATGGAGGAAGTAGGGGACTTAGTCCCAACGAGTGTGTCGCGCCGGTCACGCCTATTAGGTAATAGACAAGGGAGTCGGGGGCGCCATAAAGTCTAGTCGGAATCACGATAGACTTTAAGTTTTAAGTCATTGGATGAAGATATTAGAATCTCAAGACCCATACTACCTTTGAGATATTTAAGAATTTTTAAAGTCGAGTTCATATAAGATACTTAAAAATTCTTAAAGTCGAGTTCATACGAGATACTTTTGGATGATGCATGAATTGACTTAAGATTTATACGACATAGTAAATGTCGGGCCTAGTAATTGTCAAGTATATCAGCTTACCAACAAGCTCTTAATATTTTGTAGGATTTGGTAGAATCATATCTTCTTCTTCTTCTTCTTCTTCCTCGCACGATTGATCACATCCTCATAAATTCTAAATTGAAATGGCCAATTGGGTCTTTTAAAATTGATATGGCCAATCATGTCCCATCAAATTTCAAATTGACGTGGCCAATCATGTCTTTCTAAATCAATATGGACATTCACGTCCTTTTAAATTGGCACGACCAATCACGTCCTGTCAAAATTGGTATGACCGATTACGACTTTATAAATTTTAAATTGGCATAGCTAGTCGTGTCCTTCCAAATTAATGTGGCCATTCACATCCCTCCAATTCAATATAGCTAGTCATGTCCTTTCAAATTTCAAATTTACGTGGTCAATCACATTCTTCTAACATCCAAATCTACAAGGCCAGTCACATCCAAATTTCAAATTTACGTGGTCAATCACATTCTTCTAACATCCAAATCTACAAGGCCAGTCACATCCCTCTAAATCGACGTGACTAGTCACGTCCTTTCAAATCGATGTGGTTAGTCACCTCTTATCAAAATCGATATGGCCAGTCATATCCTCTCAAATTCCAAATCAGCATGGCTAGTTGAGTCTTTCCAAATTGATATGGCCGATCACATCCTTATAAATCAATGTGGCTAGTCCCGTCCTTTCAAAACAATGTGGCCAGATCACATCCTTCCAAATCAATGTGGCCGATCACGTCCTTCCAAATTGTAAATTGACATGACCATTCAAATCCTTCTAAACATTTACGTCCCCTTAAATCGACGTGACTAGCCACATCCATTCAAATCGACATGGCCAATCACGTCCTTCTAAAATTTTCTCTTGTTTCTTTACAAGCTTACTATGCAAATTCAAAGAAAAATATTTTTCAATGACTTTGCATTGTAAGCATTGTAAAGTTGGAGTAACTATTAACACCCAATTATTACTCTAATTATTTTTTTATTTTTTATTTTTATTGCAAAAATGCCAAACAATGATAAACAAAAAAAACACCATATAAAAAGAAGAAAAGAAGAGAAAAGAAAAAAATTAATTGGAATAATTAGCCTATATTAGTTATAGGAATGGGCTACTTAAAATAAAGAAAGTTTGAAAAAAAGAACAATTGAGGATAAAATTAAAAAAAAAAGTCAAAACCTCTATCCTTTAATTAAAATAAAAAGAAGGCACAATTGGAAAAAATTAAAAAAAAAAGTCCTAATCAATTAAGATTTAAGGATCCCATCGAAACAAACAACCTAAATCGAGCAATTATAGGAGATCGAGGACCAAATTGGACTTTTGCTAAAAAACCTATAAAATACCTATAAAAGCCCCCTTGGCATTTTTTGGTATTTTACACTATTCATTCACAATCTTTATGCACCCGACCCACTCTTTCCTACTGTAACCAAAAACTCCACCCATAACTCCCATGAGCCGACCTCCTTCCACCCCACACCGTCCTCTTCCTCGCATGAAACAACCACACCAACTAGCCATTTCCTACTCCAGCCCAAAGCTACAACCCCATATAGCTTTCACGGCCTCTTTTGAAGCCTCGCCCCTCTCCGATCACCGTCCAAGCAATCGACCCTTCATCAACTCCCCTACGACTTATCTCATGGCCATTTCCCTCACCAAAAAACTCGTTGCTACCAACCGGTCTCCATTTTCACCCGAAGCATGACAATTCACTAGCCATTACTAGCCTCCTTTTCCCTACACAAAACTCAAAGGAGGCGAGTCATCTCCCCTCTTAAAAGAAAAGGTTGAAACTCATTCAAAGAAAACACTCTCTTTATTGATCAAACCTTACTACCATAAACGTCTCCCTTCTAGCCATCTACTCATCACCCTCTTTCATACCTATAACCACCTTCACCAGACCTTGAAAATCCAAATCCAACAACCACCTTTCTTCTTCAAACTCTCACCCGATCAACCACTATCATCCTCTAATCATACATAATTAAACCTTAGCTCCAATCATCTCTCCTAAAAAACCCTCTTAACAACCTTTATAATCTCATCCTAAAAAGTGTGTTGTGGTCCTTTTATCGACTCTAATAGAATGCGGTTTAACTATGGATAGAAACAAAACATAAAAATTGTTGTTGATTAATTGTGTTTGATAGAAATAACATGATATTATAGATCGTAATTGTATTGATTTTTTACAAGAAAAACACAATAGCAACTTCATTGCCAAACTCCCTCGAGTTGTAGCAATATTAGCCATTTTCGGAAAGTTAGAGGATTACAAAGTTATTATAAAATTTATAGTTACTTTGGCAGCAACAACTTTGGCTATTTGTATCAACTTTGTAGGGACTTTTAGTCACTTTAACATGAGTCATACAACGGTTTGGCAACTACCAACTACTCTCCTTCCCTAGCTAATTAAATAATATGTTATCATTGAGGATGAAAAGAGCAAAACTAACTTTTAAATTGGACATGTGAGCTATAGAACTTTTTGATTAAAACTCTTAAAATGACTACACTCTTTTAAAATATAAATGAAAAAAATGATCGCACTCCTTTAAAATGTGAATGAAATTATCACATTTCATTTAAATATTCATGAAAAATATGATTGAGGTGAATGTTGTCGTAATGACCATTATGAATAAACTACTTTGTTTTATATCTACATTCTTAATATGAAGTTTGTGCCTATTTTTATGGTTTAATTGACTTATCGTACTTGCTTGCAATGCTAAAACGAAGCCGTCGGTGACTTTCTACTTATGTAACAAAGCCGTTAGTGGTTTTAAAATGATTTTATTTTTGTTATCTCGTTTGTCTAAAACGAAGTCACTAGTGGCTTTTTACTTATATGATGATACCATTAGTGGCTTCAAAATCAATTATCCGCTCTTTACTCAAGCCAAATAAAATGATCGATAATTTTCACTTATGTGACAAACTTATTAGTAGCTTTTCAAATTCATGACTTGAAGGCGTCGATGGCTTCCCATTTGTGTAAGTGGAGTCGTTGATGACTTATTGCTTATGCTAATAAAAGGCTACCCATATTTAGAAACTCACCTACTTGCTAGTAATAGGTTGTGTTTACTAAAGACTAGCCAAAATTCTAACTTCCTCCACCTTTCCCCTTTGAGTAGGGGAGTTGGCCTCGGATCAACTTGAACCCCCTCTAAACTACTTTGTTTTACATCTAAACCCTCAAACTATTATGTTTTACATCCAAATCCCCAAACTACTCTATTTTTACATTTTAACAAAATAAACGCATTTAAATAAATCTAGAAGCATAACACGGTGAAAAACTAGATTTTTTTGATATGCAAACAATGCAACCTACCTTAGGTAGGATGGAATGACGATGATGCTATATCTTTTTTATGCGTAATTGAACCTTTACCTAGATACTTATGCATGCTAATATGTTTAGGGTTTTCTAGTTCTTCTCAATTGACTAGGAGGCGACTTCTTATTTGCTTGCGATCCCATTATACGTCCCCTTCCCCTTATGGGTCGACTTCGACATGATGTGGAAATAACAAAATTTTCATGATTAATTTTGTGAATGTTTTCTGAAATTGATGAACATCATGAACTTGAGTTTTTAATATCAGAAAATGACTAGTTAGAATAGAAAAAATTATGAGAAACATATTTGATTTTTGAAATCTGGAAATGAACATCAACATTGTGCCAAGTATAAAATGAAAAGAAGCAAAACTAATGGCTTCCATTTGGAATCAATGCAATATAACAAGCAACCAGACAAGCAATCCCTAACCTCCAAAGCCCCCCATAGAGTTGGAATCAACAAAACCCAACCAAATGGGACGGAAGAACTTGAAATTAAAAGGGCCCTAGAGGTGTTAGAAGAACAAAGCTATCGATGGTACCTGATGTGTTGCAAGACACCCATTAAAAAAAACTGAAGCATAACGAGAAAAAAAAAACCTGGGAAAGAAATCACGGCATAGCAACATGACTGTGGAGCATCAAATACTCCCCCAAAAGCATGAGGAAATGATGAAAGGAGGCATTGAATAAGTCAAGAGAAACTCACAGATGGGGAGACAAATGTAAGCTGCCAATAGAATCGAGTGGCAAGAAAACAATTAAGCATAGAATCAAAGGACCTTTTTTGAGCAAGCAAATCAAACTCAGAAAGGAAGATAAAGAAATATCAGATAATGCAGAAGACGTTAAAACAAACGGCATAAAAAAGAAGCATGCAGGCAAAGTAGAGGATGGACAACAAAGACAGAATAAAAATGAAAGCATAGTGAAGAAGCATCTACATACATAGTGAAATATGTGAGAGTGAATAGGTTAGTGACGGTCTCATCCCCTACCTCTTTTAATGCTTTTTGTAATTTTCTTGAACAAAACCGAATAATACTGTTTACATCCAACATAATCACTTAACGAGAAGTTATCAATACATGATTGATTGGTAAACATCGGACACATGTGGTAACGGTCGTACTGATTGACAGATAGTCATTAGACATTGTGGATTGGGCAGAGTGAGGTTTCAAAGTGGGGACTTTGTGTTTGGATGATAGTTTATTCTAAAACTTTCCACAACGACTGATTGGCGGATACTGACTCATGCTGAATCAATGTCCCATAATGATATATTTTCCTATTTAGCATATGTTATTATTTCCTTGTAAAATTATAATTTCATTAATTGTCCGATCAGAGTTTTTTTTTTTAGAAATCGATTCCCATTGTTTGTTTAACATGTGAATTGGTATGGAAAAGTAATTATAGGAACATAGACTAGTGTATAAGAAGAATCATTGTAATTCTTTTTGCTGGATCTATCACACCCATTTTTAACACGATTTCCTTTCAAATATTACGCTTTGTTATTATTTTATCTTTGTAGTTTATGGTTTTCTTTATTTTATTTCCAGCTTTTATTATTAAGATTTATTAGAGTTTTATTAGGTTTTTCTTCAAAAATAAGTTTTTTGTGGAATTTATTTTTATTTAATTGTGAGATAATTATCTCTACTCATAAGTTAAAATCCTAAAAATTAAAGAGAAAAATGTTGACCATAGATATATAATTGTTTTTGAAAAATGTTTTTCTTGGTAAATATTCTTCCTAAAACAAACATTGAATAAATGAGATTACAATATTGTTGTACAGTATCAGCATCAGTATCATAGACCCAAAAAAAAAAAAAACTTTTGTATGTTATGTGCCATTAGTAATCATGAAATATTTACTTTGTCGATTTGTTTGACTATTACAGCGAAATTATGACCATTTTTAAGGGTGCATTTGTTTCTCATGATAATTAATCTTTTGGATATTGAGGAAGTACCTCTCACGAGGAGTCCCACAGTACGGCAGTAAATTCAATAGCAACAATTTTTTTTTTTTTTTTTTGTCGAAAAAGACTAGTGTATAAGAAGAATCATTGTAATTCTCTGGCTGGACTTATCAAACCAATTTTTAATACAATTTCCTTTCAAATATTAGGCTTTGTTATTATTTTACCTTTGTAGTTTATGGTTTTCTTTATTTTCTTTATAGCTTTTATTATTAAGATTTATTAGAATTTATTAGTTTTTTTTAAAAAAAAATTTGTGGAATTTATTTTCCATTTAATTGTGAGATAATTATCTCTACTCAAAGGTTAAAATCCTAAAAATTAAAGAAAAAATTGTTGATGATATATATATATTTTTGACTATTACAGTGAAATTATGACCATTTTTAAGGATACATTGTATCTCATGATTATTAATTTTTTGGATCTTGAGGAAGTACCTCTTGTTACAGAATAATATAAATTATATCTTAAGACATTACATAACAACTTAAATTTTTAAATAAGATATTTTTTTAACATAATATTAGGATCTTGATGATCAAACGATTACGAAATCGAATCCTATCATATTTATTTATTTTTAATTAGTTAAACATAAAGTTACGTGCGTTTGTGTAAATTTTAGATTCTCTAAGATTTTCATTTAAGAGGGTCACCTAACAAGTAAATTCAATAGCAACAACCAAGCGATTAAAAGGAGGAAAAAGACCCTTCGTATAACACAAGTTATTTACACATATACCCCTTCGAGGGCACATCTAGCGAAAGCTTTTTCCACCTCTGATACACGACAAAATGTATGTTCATATAAATTTGGGTGAAAGAAAAACCCATCTTTCTTGCCTACGTTCATCTTACCCCCTTCGTTCTAATTTAATCAATTGACCCCAAAATTGATATAACTTCTAGTCGATATAACCAAGGTTAAATTAGACCGTTAACGTACTGATATTGAATTTTAGAAAAAATCTAATAATTTATGAAAGCATGCATAGTTTTGAATAATACATTTAGAAAAAATATATATTTTTTACGTAAAAACTCCAAAACCCCATTCAGGATCGACTGGCTAGTTGCACTGATACGGGGAGGAAAAACAAAAGAATTCACGCAATGAGCTTTCCTCTTCGGTGGATGCCAATAGAGAGACGCCAAGCATCAAGAACAGACTCTGGAAGCAAGCAAGCCAAGAACCATTGAAACGAGTGAGCCCAGTAGGGAGCGCACTGCGCTTCATAGCCTATTCGACCAATCGCAGCCTTTGCATAATCTTCTGGTGATGGTATGAACAAGGATGATCTCTGAATCAAAGCTACTCTTGAAGTCATTTTTGTTGCAACATACAGTGGTACCTGAGTAAGGAGCCTTAATTGCATCAGTAAATTCATGAATATTTTTTTCTTTCCTCCTTATTTTGATTTCCCTTCTTATCCCTATCTGTCTTACCATCGATATGTTGACATTTTTTACCATCTGAAACCAAATATTTCATCATTATAACGCTAACATTATTCAATTCCTGTGGAGGAAGTATGGATGCACAATATATATATGTCGATTCTGGCTAGCGGACTCTCTCTCTATATAGAGAGAGAGAAACCGTTAATTCGTGAGGCTCTATTACATAAAATAATATTTATTCAAGTGAGTAATATTTATTGTATTTAAGCAAAAATGTTAGACCAAAAATTAAATTAAAAAAAATGATTAAGGATAATATTGTATACAAATATTCCAAAAATAACGTTATACATTACGTATGCAATGGATTAGCAAATGAGTTTTAAGAAATATGAGGGGCAATTGTCGAAAAAGAAAAGAGGTCAAATTTGAACTCTTAAAATGAATAAGGACTATTGTGGATTTTTGAAAACAAATTGGGAGGGCCTTCTCTTCTATGTAAATTCTCCCTACGAGTAGGAGGAGGGGCGGATGGAAAAGAAAAGAAAGGGTTAATTTTTACGAATTGACGACATAAATAAATAAATTAGCAATACAGAATATAAAAATCATGAGAAAGGGTTAATTCCTATGTTTTTAACGAAATAATTAGTTAATCCCTCTGTTTTTATATATATATATATATAAAACTCATTGATTGTAACTTTGTTTTCGTTTTTTTTTTTGGTTGATTTTTCATCACAATCAATTTTTTTCCTTTTCCTAAGATATCTTTCATTTGTAATCAGAATTTTCATTATTATCTACGCTACATACATATTTAAAAGAGGTAATTTAGAAATTTTAAAATAACAACAACAAACAACTTTGGTTTGGAGACTAATTTATGATTTTTTTTTTAAAAAAAAAAACAGAGAGACTAACTTATAAAACCATGAAAAACACAAGGACTAAATTCTAATTTTTATTCCTTTTAAAATGTGTGTAATAAGGCTATATAAGAGTTTACAATTACTACACGTAATAAAAATTATTTTGTAAATGCTACTTGATCTTTTTGTTGGTTTCTCATACAATTAAATTATTTTGCTTAAAATGTCCTCCATTTGTACTCGAATTTTTCAATTTTATCCACTAGAGACAAAATGTAAAGTACAAATAAAAAGGATAATTTAGAAGATTCAAAAGAAAATTAACATTCAACTTTGGGTAGGGGACAAAGTTATGATTTTTAAAAATAAAAAGACTAATTTACAAAATCATTAAAAACAAAATAACTACTTAAATTATAATTTACTCACATCAAAATATGCGTAATAAGGCTATAGAAAAGCTTACAATTGGACCTAAGATTGTTTTGTAAATACAAGTTCAAAATAACTATATATGTTAGCTGGGTAAGTGAGGGGTTTTAAGAATTCGAAATGCATGGAATCAATATAAGGTGAATGATAGAGTAGTAGTTGAAGAATATGACGGGAAGGATTTCTTGAACTTTCTCATATTCTTGAACTTGCTAAGTATCTTTGTTTTGAGAGATGATAATTATACTAGTTATATTAATACCGGCCTGAAAAATAAAATTCAATAAAAAAATGATTTTGTCCTAGTTAAGTTAATCTAATTAATTGCAAAGATAAAATTATTAAAAATGCATGACATTTAACTCCCACTTTGGTCCTCTCTCTCTCTCTCTATATATATATATAGAGAGAGAGAGAGAGAGATATCCTTCTATTCCCTTTTCCAGTAAAAAACAAAAAACAAAAAGAAAACAAAACAAAATAGTGACTTTATTTCTGTCATTTTATGAAATGTAAATAATATCTGCATTCAGGTGTTTTTATTTTAATAAATCTCATTGTTTTTAACAAAAAGAAGTTTATCTGATGTATTTTTTAGTTCTATCATTAATTACATTTTATGTTGTTGGATAATTGTCCTTTACTTAGTAAGTTAGACTTTTGACATCGTATTGAAATATCAAATTAATAGCATCATTTTTTGTTTATTTTCAGTTTTTTTTTTCCCAATAGAATTTTGGTTACTTTTGAATTTTTTGGTTGTTGTCAATTTTAAAAAATTATGCACACGTACAAATCAACTTAAATGACTTTTCGTTCTAATTAAAGCATATATATATATATTACAAAAAGGTTAATGGTTGCTGAGATCTTTCTATTCATTTTTTTTAAATCTTTGTCCTTTTACTTTTTTTCGTCTTAAGGTTGACCTTCTATATTTGATTTATGTATTAGATTCATTTCTCCATTAACTTTTTTTCTGTCTTAATTTCATTCCTCTATTTTATTTTTAATTTCTTCTTAAATTTTGTTTTTTTTTTATCAAATTTAAATAAATAAATTTTGAAAAAAAAATAGAAAAAAGTGAAGATACATATGATCATCTCTCTAAAAATTAAATAAAAATAATAAAAATAAGGATGAAGCTAAAAATATTTTTTTATTCAAAATATTCTTTATGGGATTGAATTCATCTCTATGATAGTAAGCAAATTTTGAATATTTTAAAATGGTCTAAGAAAATTTTGAGTACAACAGAAAATATTTATAGCATTATTTTTTAAATGTGTATGCGATTTTTATTTAATTTTTTTAAAATGAAAAGATTTGTAAAATTAAAATAAGTAAATTATAGCGAGTTCTTTTGAGGTATTATAAAATTATAAATACCATTTAAAAGTTTTAAAAATTAACTAAAACTATCACATTTAAAAAAGAATTACAAATATTTTATTTTATATTTAAAATTTGCTTACTAATAAATTTAAACCCATATTTTGGATAAAAAAATATTTTTATTTTCACTTTTTCTTTTTTTAATTTGTTAATTTTCAATTTTTACAAGAACGATCAGATATTTCTTCACTAGTTTCTCCAGCTTTTTATGTTGTTTTTCAAACTTTATTTATTTAAATTTGGTAAAAAAAAGATTATTTTTCAAAATATTTATTTAAATTTGATTAAAAAACTAGATTAAAACAGAAAAATATTAATATAGTTGATCTAAAAATTAAGGAGAGACGAGATTAAGAAAAAAAAACTAAAAGGTAGAAATTAAGATGAACTTAAGATGAAAAAGAATAAAAAGAGACGATAAGGAAAAAAAAAAAAAGAGGAATCTTTACAACCATTAACCCCGATTACAATATGATAGTAATTGAGTTCATCTAACCAGATTTAATTCTTCAAAGTATAGTTATATGATATATTTGCATTATGGAAGTTATGGCGATATAGCATTTAGAATGCACAGAGTTGGAAATTATAAATACCTGACATTGTACATGAATTCCACAACGTTTGTACTCCAACTCCAGACATCTTGATAATTGATCAATGTAACTGCAAGGGCACAACACAACTCAGAAATGTAGTTAAAGATTACTGTTGTCCATAGAAGAGATGTGGGGGACAGACATTGCCAGTACTGTAGCTATTTTAAAACCCACAAGAAGTAATACAATTTTAAGATATATATATATATATATATAGAACCGACGATAGATGATTAATAAAGCTGGAGACATTTTTTTTTCAAAAAAAAAAGAAAAAAAAATTGATGGGGATTGAAGTTCTTTTGAGAAGCAAGATGTTTTTTTATTTAAAAAATTGGTTATTTGTTTCACATTTTTCTTCCACAAAATAAAGTTAACAAAATTTTTGACGTTTGCAATAAATTCTACTTGATTATATTTTTTCTGATGGCTTTCTATTTATTTATCTGTATATAAAAAAGAAAGCTATCTATTTGATTTAAACACTTTTTCGTTATTAATAATTTTTTCAAAAAAAAATGCTTATATAATCACTAATAATAATATTTTTAGAGTTATATGGCAATATTTTCTTCAAATAAAAATAAAAATAATTATATTATATATTTTTAAATTAAGTCATTATATTTACCATAAATATAATTATTTTGTATATAAAAATAATCAGGTTTATTTAATGAAAGTAAACGTAAATAAATAAACAAATGCATAGGAAAAAATAAATAAATAAAGATCAGCAGATCGTATATGGAAAGAGGAGGCTCAGAGTTAAAACAATATCCTTAAAGCTGAAGCGGTGGCGGCCATAAATAAATCATGATAGTCGACGTGTTTCAATTTATGAGATACCTGTTAGTTGGTTCCGTTATAAAAGACGTCTTTAATACAGTTACCTAATGTCCTGCCAAACCTCCATACATTGGAAGGACATAAAAAGTGCTTGTTTGTTCTTAGACTCCTATCCCTACAAAACGCCAAATATATCAACCATCAAGCAATTAAAGTTCAGTAGAGAATTGTTGGTTTTTTTTTTGTTCTATAAAAGGTCGAAGGAGAGTCTACCTAACGGTCCTAAACTCTCCCATTTACACCTTTGTGTCAGTAAACTGTGATTCAACTGGTATTTATTCGTATCTCTATTTCTCAATGAGATGAGATCTGAGTTAAGCCCTTTTTTTTTTTTTTTGGTAATTAAAAAGATTTACACTTTCATATTATTTGTTTGTTTTAACCGATATTAGTGTTTTTTTTTTTCCAAAATCAAAAGACAAGGAAAAAAATCTAAATAAAAACCAAAATTTTGTGTTAAAAATTGAAAAGCAGTAGTTGAAAAACAAAAAGAATGGTTCGTGGTTATTTATGACATGCTTACGCTTTGGTAGCAGCATAGACTGTGAAGAGAGGATGCGAAGGCATGACACTAGAAGCTCCAGAGCCCATATTAACAATGGCACCTCTTCTCCTTTGAATCATCCCTGGTAAAACTGCTCTAGTAACTCTGCTAGTGCCCTCCAAATTCACTCTAACAATATCCATCCAAACTTTCTCATCGACCTCGTGGAAAAACCTGGCTGCAGGGTACGTGATTCCCACGTTATTGATCAACACACCAACATCTAGCCCCTCTATGGCCTTTTCTATTATTAATTGGACAGTGCCAGTTGAAACTTCGCTTGAAAAATCAAACACCACCGTCTTAATCTTGGTGCCAGGATGTTCAGCTTGGATTTCACTCGAGACTGTTTTAAGCTTGTTGGGGTTTCTACTCACTAATATTAGGTTTATACCCTTTTGAGCTAGCTGGTGAGCAAAGGCTTTGCCTATTCCGTCTGTGGCTCCAGTGATAAGAGCCCACGAGCCATAGTGTTGGAGATTCTTTTTTGGTCTGACAAATGTTGCATACACCCACCTGAGAAGAGGGAATGAGGTTTTGAGGAAGGAGAGAAAACCAAGGGACGAGACAAGAAGAATCCACATGGGCTGGGTTGAGAGGGGGTTGATGCATGCGGAAAGCATTTTTCTTTTTTTAGCTAGTGCTCTTGATGAGATAGAATACGATCCAAACAACCTTCATATATAATTGCTTGAATTTGTTTAAAGCTGTGCACGGATCATGGGCCGCTGGTCCCTAGCTGATATATGAATTAGCAATGACGTACGTGTAGGAGTAGGAATCAACCGTTTGGCCATGATTCGTGTAGGTGCATTTAGTTGTCAAATTATAGCTGTGAGGTCAGTAGCTCTCTCGTCACACGCTAATGCTTACCGCTACAAAGGGCTAGCTGAAATGAACAAACCAGTTGCAGGAAAGGAAGAGTCCAAGGCTAGCTGTTGCACTTTGCAAGGGAAAGAGGATCACTAGTTCTTTGGTTTAAAAGATTAATTAATCTGGATAATTAAACTCTTCAAACCGAGCTTAATGGCAGCTTGATGCAGAATTGATAGTGATTGGTTGACACATGTCGTCAATGAATAAAATTGACAACATCTAGTTGGCAATCTGGTAGATTGTAGTGTGCTTCTCTTACGTTCTTAGCGCGTGAAAACAAACCACATCGTATGTAATAAAGGCTGAAGTCACCAATCTACCCTAACCTGCATTAAAAGTTTTGCTAAAGACAGAAGTCACCGATCTACCTTTACCTGCATTAAAAGTTTTGCTAGTTAATTATAAATGAGACCCTTTAGTTTATTGAAACGAATTAATTAGTAATTCCTGTGAATAGTCATGGTAATGGTTCCTTAACCATCGATTTTGGTTTAGAAAACCTTAATCAAACCTTTTATGGACGGTTTCGGTTTCGGTTTGAAATCATAAAATCGACGATTCCAAACCGTTTGAAACCGATGGTTCAACGGTTTTTTTATTAAATGAAAAAATAAAAAAAAATCGAACATTTTTTCTCAACATTAACATTAAAACGAAAAACTTCTTTTTTGCATAATGTATAAATATTATAATATTTTTTACATTATAATGTATTTCACACAATAAATCAAAGGAAAAAAAGAAATAAATAAAGAAGGGCTTGAACTTAATTTTCGTAAACACTACAAAAATTAAGCTTCCTACGTATCCTCTTGGGGTTTAGAGGAATCAAAGCTTATGTAGTTCTCTTTTACATTTCAAATTACCCCTTTACAAATTACATCTATGTTCTATATAGTTACGCCTAGTTACTTTCTTGACCGGAAGTTTCGACTGCGAAGTTTCGTTGTTGTGCCGTCGGGTGTTAGATCCATACTTTCTTCATTGAAATCATATTGTTTTTGTTCTTGTGTTCTCTTGTCGACTCTTATCCAATCATCCACGCATACTTGGGCTTCAAGTGACTCGGGAGCCAATTGTGATCGCCTATCATCCAAAATATTACCTCCGGAGCTAAATGCTCTTTCAACGACTGTTGTTGAAGCCGGCACAACAAGTATTTGTCTAGCTATTATGGACGGGATCTGGAAAGGTGTCCGCATGTCTTTTCCACCAATCAATTACTTCAAAATCTACACTCGCATTGCTATCACCAAACTCAAACACGGTTGTTAGATAAATATCAAGCTCGGAAGTGGAGCCCGATGATCCTCTTGGCCTTTTTTTCCTTTCCATGGCCATAAGATAACCGGTTCTAACACGTTGGCTATTTGATGATGATTGTGGCACGGGTGATAAAGAGGAACTAGCATGTTGATCACCCACGATTAAAGACATTTCAATATATAAATCTCTAACTTGTTTAATAATAGAAGCAGTTTCTATTTCTACATTTTTATCAAATAATTACAAATACTCATAATAAGTATTCAAAACAGCGAGAAAGACCTTTCATTTTAAATCTAGGATCAAAAACTAAAGCAACAAGATAAATAGGTGGAATTTGTTTCATAATAACTTAACCATTTTTGTTTCATTATTTGAACAGAGCATGTAAAGTTGGCATATCTTATTCTACATGATTAAAAGCTTCAACAATAATTGCTTCAATCATAAATAAATGTGAAGTTGGTTGATAAACGACACTAAAAGTGTATGTTGCATTGTTAAAAACACTTAAAAGTTCCAAAAGTGGTTCGCAAATATCAAAATCATTTTGACAAATAAAAACATAATCAATATTTTCTGAAAAAAATGAGCATAATAAATCTCAATATTCAAATGACTCGCCTAAGTAAGTCATAAGTTGAATTCCAACGAGTTGGAACATCTTTTGAAAATCGTCTTGGTTTTTTGTTTCTTTCTTTGCAAAACTTTCCCCATGATTTCATCTTTTGGGGATGCATCCATAAATATTTAGCAAGAGCTTTAATTGGCCTAACAATATCTTTAAGATATTCCAAACCAGATTGCACATATAAATTTAAAGCATGACATACCCATCTAATATGGAAAAACTTACCTCCAAGATGAGGTTGACAAAGTTCTCTTAAAGACTCTACTAAAGCATCATTAGAACTAGCATTATCAAAAGAAATTGAAAATATTCTTAAAGGTAAAACATATTTATCTAAAATCCTTTTTAGTATTTTATATATATTTTGAGCGGTATGTTTATCATCAAAAACTCTATATGCAAGAAGACGTTTTTGCATATGCCATTCATTATCAATCCAATGACAAGTTACACCCATAAAAGAGTGAGTTTGCCATTGATCGGACCATATATCAAAACATATAGAAACACGATCATTCAAATTTGCAAATAATACAATTAATTCTCTTTTTTTCTATCTCTATATAATTTTATAACTGTTTTTTTTTAAAGAATGTCTTTCAACTTGTTTGAAAGCGAGGATTCAAAGCGTTAGAACAATAATTACTAAAATCCATTTTTGATCAAAACTAAAAGATAAATGATCAACACATATCATTTTAGCCATTTCTTCTTTATTTTTTTTATCGAGTATACTCGAAATAAAGAGGAAGATTGAGAAACAAACCCGGATATTTGTGTTCGATGTCTATCATTACCAAGTACGGATGGATGCTTTCTCTCCAAGTGGGTTTTGAATGTTCCATAACCACCTCCTTGTTTGAATGTGTATTGCTTGTTGCGGTAGTTCTAAATCATAGTAAAAACGCCTTTTCTAACGGAACTTTTGAAAAATGAATTTTGAAGATGTTGGATGAATTAGGTGTAAAATTTGATTGTTATTGTTGCTCTCCTGCTCGATTTTGATTGGCGGTATTACTTTGTTGTGATGAGATATGTGAACTTGAACTTGCCATTTTTTGTAGTATAAAACAATAGAAATGTAAAAATTTAAGAAGTATTTGGAGTATACAAAATATTATAGGATAGGATTGAGAATTCTAGACTTAAGAGTTTGAGAGATTGAGAGAGAATGAGAGATTGAGTTGTGAGAAGAATGAAAAAAATTGAGAGTGAGAGGGTATTTATAGAAAAGAAAAGAAAAAAAGAAGAAGAGAAAACGGTCACTTTTTTGTGACCGTTGAGTTGTGACAAATGGTCACAAAAATGTGACCATTTGTCACATACTCAATTTACACACACACACACACACACACACACACACACACACACACACACACACACACATATATATATATATATATATATATTAAGTCCAAAAATTAAAAATTATTAGGCTTAATTTTTTTTTTCATTTTTCAGTCCAATAGCTACTCGTCCATCCCATATAAAATTTTATTTAATTTTTTTTGTTTTTTTTCGACCCAATCCAAATTTATTAGGAAAAATATGAAACCGCCGGTTCTACGGTTAACCATCGGTTTAGAACCGTCGATTCCGATTTCATGATACCTTAAACCATAACCAACCCGTAGGTAGCTGGTTACGGTCCGATTTGATTAATGTTACGGTTTTAACGATTTCGATTCGATTTTTTAACGGTTTGATTTCGGTTCGATTTACGATTCGAACCGAACCGTTACCATGTCTACCTGTAGATGATCCTTATATGGTTTTGTATTTGTTAACAATTTAGTTTTTTCTGTTAATTTTTCATCAATAAGATGCTGAGGGATCCTCAATTTAATAATTTTTATTCCAAAAATATTCTTCTTTTTAATTAAATTGTCCTTTCCCAGCCACATCTCTTTTCTTTTCCTTTCCTAGGGGCCCTGTTGGTATAAATAATATCATACAGGCTGTGCTAAAAATAACGCTAAAAAATCAATATAACTATTAATAATAATGTATAATGGACTGACCTCACAAGTATATGAAGTTGTAAAATAAAAGGATAAACATCATGCTATTTATATTTATTTAACAATGAAATAAATTTGAAAATTAAAAAAATATATATCTTAACAAAATAATTGTTACGATACTGTAAAAGGAACGGTGATTTTTTTTCTCTTTAATTTATTAATACTGTGTATCTCTCTTTTGATTTTTTAATTGCTATACAATTAGATGATAATTTTAAATTTATAAATAATAATATCATATTTTTCTAATCACAATTGCACAAAAAAAATAGATTATATATAATTTTTTATTTAAAATATTTTCATGTAAAATATGATCATTTATTGTTATTGAAAAAAAGAATATATACGTATATATTGAAATAAGGTTCTATTTAGTTAAATGTTAAGTATTTTTATTCATAAAAACTTAATATTTTAAACACGTTTCTTTTTAAAAAAGACTACAAATTTAATCTTAAAAAATTCTAGCCGTAAACTCCATGTTTTCTGACCATATCCTCCACGTATTCAAATTTGAATTTATTTTTATTATCGTTTTACCCAATAAATTCTCACATGTTTGATACGTATCGGACCATGCCCGACATGTATGTCTATATACTTACCTGAAACGGATGCAGAAGCATTTTTAGAGTATTCATGCTTGCTAGAATGGCACTATAAGGTGGTGGAGAAGTTGGTGTCAGTGGCATCGATCGGCCCTGGAGGAGGTGAGCAAAACCGGGCTATTGTCGAATAAAATACATGTTAAAATTACGATTTTCATAATTGAGATACAATCCATTGAATTTAGAGACTTTTTGAGGTGTGAGGTAAGATAGAA